CTGGGCGTGGTGTTCGCGGTGGCGATGCACCCGACAGTGGTGCGGGAGCTGTGCGCGGGGCCGTCCGCCGAGCTCACCTCTACAGCCGCCGAACTTATCTCCGCTGTTGCTGACTCAAGCTCCATCGCGGTGGTGCTGGTCCTGCTCGTGTTCCTCGCCGCCGTCTACCAACGGCTCGATGGAATGCCAACAAGAGACAGAGGGGAGGTAACGCCGTCATATTCCAGATACAAAGTGATCGTATCCATCTATACATCCTATCAAACACAATCCCAACTTAGCCAGGTTCAAAAGGAACATGAGAATCAAACAAACGAGGTTGCACCATGCGAGCCGAGCTTAAGCTGGCCACAGCCATGCGCCCCTACCCTAGTGTCCTCCCCGGACGCAAGGGGTTCTTCGTGATCCAATGGTTAAGTCAATATTTATGAGGACCGGACCAACGATGACATGTAAAAGACCAAACCAGCTGTCGATTTATTTTAAAGCACGGCCATGCAATTAGACCAATAAAACCCGATGAATGGGTCGGTTTTCTACAAAACTAGGACTGGCGGTTGAACCGGCCAGCTAGGAGCTGATGCGCACGCCGGGTGCTCCAATAGTTATTAGGAGGACCAGCCAGAGATCGAATAAACGTTCACTGTTCAATTGGTTTAACCATTTAAACAACACGGTTCAAATAGGGAGAAATATATACTAGAGACACAAACACGCGTCTAGCTTAGTGGTACAGTTCCTTCACAAGAGGGTTGGGGTTCGAATGTGTCCTCTCCTCTTAGGGATGACAGTGGTCAGGTAAGGTGCAGATAATAAAGCCTTTACTCGCCTGTAGTTTTGGTTCTAGTTTTTACCAAAACTATATAAAAAATGGAAGTGAAAATCGAAATATTTTTCCCCCTCCTATGGGTTTTGGATTTTTCTGTGACAATTTCTCTTCACTCACCCATAGTTTTTGTTCTAGTTTTCACCAAAACTATATAAAAAAATGAAAGTGAAAATCGAAATACCTCCCATGGGTTTTGAATCTTTCTGTGTCAATTTCCCATAATAAGGAAAAAGATTCACGGAGAAACTCATATCACGGTTCTGAGTTGAAATCCCTTGTCTAGGTTGTGAGTTGTGACCACTTGACTGCACCAATTCTATCACGAAAAGACCGATGTGGTCGGAGCTAGAGTAGGCAAAATTTCATTGAAATCGATTAAGCGGACCGAACCAAACTGATTATTTTAAAAAAGTTGATTTCGAAACTTTCATAATCTATTCAGTGAAGGCTTTGGTACTGTTTTGTTAACTGAAATATACTTAGTTTCAAACTGGCGTTAACCAAATTAATCGATTTAACTCGAATTCTTTCTTACTACTTCCTCGGTCCCATAATGCTTGTCGTCGTAGGAGTTGGGGGAGATTACCAAGGAAGCCAACAAATGACTTGGTTGCCCCTACTTCCTCTGTCAAAAGGCTGCTGTGAATAGCAGTGAATGGATATGTAGAGAGAGGTTGCCGAGCAGATAGAGAGTGAGCAGGTGCCGAGCACATGGGCCAAAGGCTGCTGCGCCTGACAGGCTAGGCTGCTGCGCATGCACTGATGGAGGAAGCAAGCTAAAACGTCATCTATTTTGATACTTCTTTTGAACGCTTGGACGTCCAGTATTCTGCGACGGAGGGAGTATTATATTAACTAAACACTAAAATTGTGTCTATTTGTATATTATTTAATTATATTTCTATGAAACTTTATTGGTTAGAAGCATTCATATTGCCTTTTTTCTTTCGTTTTATCATATAACTAGATGGTACCCTGCGTGTTGCAGCAGAAATTCTATAGCTCTTATTTAGTTACTATAATAAAATTATTTATAAGAGAATTTGTAGTGTAGGAAATAATAAAATTCTATAGCTCCTATTATTTATAAGAGAATTTGTAGTGTAGGAAATAATAAAATTATGGGAAAATATACTGTCCAAACTGATGACCAATCACGCATGTACTTTAGCTCTTATTATGATTTATGAGGCATGCTTGTATATGGAATATGCCTGTGTTAGACATGTTAACATGGAAAATCGTGTGGTATATACTCCTACTCAGATTAACATTTGTGTATCGGCGAGCCTGCATCGGTAAAGGAAGCAAGCAGCTTCACCTTTAAAATATCTTTCTATCCCTGTTCTTGTCGGATTTGTCTCTTATGGTGGGTCTTTTCCTAATTGCATCATGTCTGGCGCCCCTCACAACCTTCTCCCTCAGATTCCAGTCGCTGACAAAATGATTGATGCGGCTTGGTGCCACCTTTCCGCCGGCCTGTTCTGCAGGACAAAAAAATACTGTTCCGGCTGATTGTTGTGAGAGAAAAATACTATTTTAACAGAATATAAACAGTGATTTTATGAGAGAAAAAACAAGTCAGCCGAACAAGCTTCGTGCCACTCCTGCTACGCACTAAGCGGTTTGCGCGGATCCATGGCTCAGGAACGGTGACACTGTCAGGGCTCGTTGCTCTCCCATGCGCGTGACGATGCCATCCTGCTCCATCCAGGTAGAAAGATCTGTGCAACACCATGTCACCATTAATAAGGCCCTGTTTAGATTCCACCCAAAATCCAAAATTTTTCAAGATTTTCCGTCACATCAAATCTTGCGGCACATGCGTGGAGCATTAAATGTAGGTAAAAAAATAATTAATTGTACAGTTTATCCGTAATTGACGAGACGAATTTTTTAAGCCTAAATAATCCATAATTGGATAATTTTTGTCAAATACAAACGAAAGTGCTATAGTAGCCAAAAGCCAAAAATTTTCGCATCTAAACGGGGCCTAAATAATCATATCAGAGTTCGTGAAGCTGGAATACCACAAGGGCCCATCCTGGCGTCCGCTATCACGGTGCACCCGATCTCGTACTGCGCGTGGTCTGTGGCGCAGAAGCGCATGATCCGCGTGTTCCTTCGGTACCTGGCGCGCATGCGGCAGCCATCCCGAATTTTTTACTTTTTAGTGTTTTTTAAGTTTTTTATAAATACGTTTATGAAGAAAAAATTTTAGAATATATACCTTTAGCTCGGAGACATCGATGCTGACGCCGAGCTAACACGTCTCGACGTCAGCGTTCCTGCCGCCGAGCTCTTGAGCTCGAGACCGACGTGGAGGTGACGTGGCAGGGAGCTCGGCGCCGTAGATCTTGGCGGCGAGCTCAGTGCCGTAGATCTTGGCGCCGAGCTCCCTGCCGTAGACCTGGTCCAACCTTCCTACCCGAGCCTTCTTTCTCCTCTCTCTCGGATTTTTTCTCTCTTCACTTCGCCCTACCTCACTAATCGGCATATTGGATATTGAAAACCTTGATTTAATCCGTAGATCTTCGAGAGCAAGGTATCATCGCTCCCCTCTTAGTTTTTTTCGTATCGATTCGATATATATTAGTCGGATTTTTTAACCTAAGAATCGTCATTAGTTAGGGTTTCATTCTATCCCTCAATATTTGTACTATACAACCGTAGGATGATGCCAATGCGTGGAAAAGATAGCAAACCTAGGCGCATATAGTTATGTTCTGTGTTCATTGTTGTACATCAAATGGAAAACCCTATTTAGGGTTTAATGTTAATTACTTTCGGTTCTTAGAACGAAATTGGTTGTATTGTAGTTATGGATCTCATTGACATTTATTTGTGATGTTTTGATTTATGTTTGTTAAATTACATCCGTTTTGTTAGATGTAAGAAATATTTCGGGAGGAGTTTTGACGAAAACAGGATCGTCCTCCTGCCAGACTTCGGTATTCATGTCGATTGGCGCCGAGCTCGGCGCCAGGGTGACTTCGGCAGGAAGGTTGGGTCGGGGTTATGGCAGGAAGAGCTCGGCGCCAAGATCTACGGCGCCGAGCTCGGTGCCAGGCTCCCTGCCATGTCACCTCCACGTCGGTCTCGATCCCAAGAGCTTGGCGTCAGGGACGCTGGCGCCGAGACGTGTTAGCTCGGCGCCAGCATCGATGGCGCCGAGCTAAGGGTCCAGATTCTGAAATCTTTCCTCCAAAAACGTATCTATGAAAAACTTTTAAAAAAGGGCTAAAAAATAAAAAATTCGGGCAGCCATCTGTGTCGGCGAACGGCGTGGCGATACACGGACCAGACCTTGCCCCACGCGCGCGCGCCCACACACGGACCAAGCTCCTCCCTTCACCCGCGCCGGCCATGGTGGATCTAGAGGCCTCCTTCTCCTCCTTGATCTCCAAGTTAGGGTTCTAGCGAGCTTTTGATCGCATCTTTTCCAACTCCGGTGGGTTTAGAAGGAAAGTTTTGGAGGGAGAAAGCCCGGCTGAGCGGTGGTGATGGCTGGAGATCGGTTAGGGCCCTAACGATGGCGGAGGCAGCTAGGCCAAGTCGGTGCGGGGGAGCTATAGCACGGAGCTCCGCTCAAGTCCTAGCGCGAAACGGCGGGGCGAGGACGAGGTACCAAAGAAGGGGAGGTGGACGTGCGCGAAGGTTGAAGATAGCCGTGCCTGCGCGCGACTGTTTTTTAGCTGTGTCCTTAGGCGGTGTTTGGATCCGGTGACTAAAATTTAGGAGGTGTCAAATGATGGTGTTGCATGAGGTGTTCGGATACTAATAAAAAAATAAATTACATAATCCATCAGTACACCACGAGACAAATTTATTAAGCCTAATTAAACAATCATTAGCATATGTTTACTGTAGCATTACATTGTCAAATTATGGACTAATTAGGCTTAAAAGATTCGTCTCGTAAATTAGTCGCAAGCTATGCAATTAGTTTCGTAATTAGTCTATATTTAATACTTCCTTCAAACATTCGATTAGACAACTCCTAAAATTTAGGAGAAGAAACCAAACACCCCTTAATTTTATAGACAATAAATTCTGTTCACATTTCACTAAAGTGAAAATTCTTGACAATTTAACCACACTCATCTCACCGAATTAATCGAGGTAGCGACGTCTCCCCAGTTCTCCAATCGCCCCCCAAATCGGCAAACAGATGGCCGCCGGAGCACTGCCGCAAGGGGCCTCCTCCCACCGGGGCGGCGGCGGCGGGAAGGAGGCGATGCCTTGTTGGGCGTCGCTGCACATCGACCTGACACAGCTCATCGCCGCGCGGGTGCTCGCCACGGGGGGTTTCCTGGACTACGTCCGCTTCCGCGCGGTCTGCTCCGGCTGGCGCGCCGCCGCCGCCTCCCCGCGCGGCCGCGGCCTGCTGGACCCGCGCCTCCACCCGCGGCACTGGATGCTCTTCCCCGAGGGCTTCGGCCGGCACCCGGGCCACCCTGCGCACGGCGGCCACGCCCGCTTCTTCGACGTCTCCGCCGCCGGCGCCTTCGTCCGCGTCCCCATCCCGGAGCTCGAGGACCACCACGTCCTCGACTCACCCGACGGCCTGCTCCTCCTGCTGCGCTTCGAGGACACCGCCCTCCGCCTCCTCCACCCCTTCACCCGTGACGTCGCCGACCTCCCGTCCTTCCACTGCCTTGCCCAGCAGGTGAAGCACCTGGAGGAGCTGCCCAGCCGCATCAGGCTGTTGGATGCTGCTGATGTGTTTTATTTCTACCGGGAGCTACTCGGCGAGCTTTGCAGCGCCGTCAACATCACGGCCTCGGGGACCATTACCGTGATGCTAGCGCTTGCTCCTATTGGCCGCGTCGCGGTTGCATCAGCTGGTGATGATGAGTGGACTATAAGCAGCTGGAAGGAGGACGAACTGGAGGCGACCCTGCAGTATCAGGGGAAGCTGTATGTGGTGTATCAGAAAGACTGCCTAACACATCATGTCTCCCTGATTGATCCTCCGCTACCTTGGTGTGATGGGGATGTGTCATTATCTCCACCAACAGTGCCTCCACCAAGGACAGTCGCGACAGTATCAAGCAAGGAAATCTACTTGCCTTCTTTGGTTGAATTGGACTCAGAGATCATGCTTGTCGGCTACAAGAATAGGGCCTGTTCATGCCTTTTGGTTCTCAAGCTTGCTGATCTTGTCTTGGGTAGGACTGTTCCAGTGATATATATAGGTGATCATGTCCTCTTTTCTGGTGCCCGTAGCCTCTGTGTGTCATCCAATTGGTTGCCTTCCATTGGTCAAAACTCCATCATACACCTCCGAGCGATCTGTCTTGCACAATACAACCTAAACTTTGGTGCTTGGTCGCCGGCTAGTGATGAAGACACATGCTTCGAGCCCCCAAAACCCCCTTGTGAGCTCGTCCATCACATCTTTACCTGTTGCTATCGGAGATTCTGGTATGCATCCTCACTTTTCCCACATCGACTGTTCCTTTGCAAATTTATCCAGAATTTTCGTTGGTGGTACTGTCTCCGGTTCAGCTAAATAGTAGTAAGTAGAGCTGCTTATTAGTTGGAAGCTTAAACTGGTGTCTGTAGGTATGAGGGGACTTATTTATTTATCTATATGTAAACAACTAGTTTGATTTAAGACACCCTATGACATCAATTAATCTTAATCCTTTACAAGTTCAATACAGTTATATTTCTATTTTGTCAATTACCACCAGTATCTTGTTTGGCATCAATTTGAATTGGTATTTGGTTCTTGGAATACAAGTTTTGACTATGGTAAAGATTCGAGTGAGCTTGGGATTAGCTACACCCCCATTTGAAAAACGCACGTGCATTTTCAAAATTAGTGAAAAAACATTTTCTTGTAGGTCATGGATACCCATGCTGACGCACATCATTTTTCTTCACAAAAATGATAAGGACTCTTTGTATTTTTTTTCGCAGAAGGCATATGCTCACTTTTCTCCATGAAATTTTGTATGCCTGCAATTATCTATGATCTGTGTGTATAATTTTTTTTCATAAATTTTAGAACGCAAAACATATTTGTTGTTTAAATTTTCAAATGTAATTGCACACTTTTAACTATTCCTTGAGTCTTTATTGCTTTTGCTGTTTGATGCCTGAAGGAACACAGGGTTGCTGTTCCAGTTTGGGGCATGGATACCTGATTGGCGGGCGAGGCTGGACCGGATAATCGCAGTAAGTATTGATTTTGATCCTTTCTTTATCTTCTAACCAAGTTATTAGTGTCCTGGATTGTTTCTTTGCTGATACATCGATGATCTTAAGATTCTTAACCTTACTACTGCTTGCCAGGGGCACTCTGCAGTACCACATGAGCATTGCGAGTTGTGCATTTATCCTTTCTGTTTCCCCTGAAAATCTGGATTCTTTGTCTAGTATACAACTAACTTATTCTGCAAACACACCTTATTGAATGTTGGAATAAACTGAATTTGATTTTGCTTGCGGTGATATAACTTCACATATGGCTAGAAGTTCTGTCTTCAATTTCATTACGCTATGCTGCCTTTTGCTCTTCTCACTTTGCCATCGATACAACAATCTCCTAGAAATACTCCAACAGGGGAAGCATGCGGAGGGCTTATTTGGATGCACTCGTATTCACCTTAATCCACATGCGTTGGAGTGGATTGGGGGTGAAAATTAGTTAATTTTCCACCTCAGTATATGTGGATTGAGGTGGATATGAGTTCTAAACAAGACCTCAATATTGCTTTATATGACTATCACCATTGATGATGGCTTATCTGTTGTTTCCATTGGGCAGGCCTAAAATTGGAACTCTTGGCCTGCTGTGGACGTTGGACAGAAATGTTCAGTCTATGTGTCTATTTCTCCAGGGAATCGCTACTCTTGTTGCGCTTGTGTCTCCCTGATGGTTGATCGCCTGAAGAATTTGGAAAGAGCAGTAGCTGTTTAGTTCACCCCTGTTTTCCTAGTCATCCCCTGTTCAACCTGAAGAGTGAAGGCAATGCTCTTCTTCATGTACATAATTCTAAAGCAACGCTTTTGTCTGCTGCTAGCTGCATCGCCTTGAAATACTGTGTCTATCGAAGGGGTGATTTTCTACTAAATATGTAACTCCTTCCCTCCTGAAATAAAATGCCAAGTATTGTAATTTTAGGGCGAAATAAAGCCTTGTTTGGATATCTTATGATTATAATCCGGTTATATAATTAAATTATATGATCCAAACACGATTAATTATACTATAGATTAGTAGTATAATAAAAGCCCCTGATGACCATAGTCACATAATCTAGGGAAGACTTGATTTTTGGAAATTATCGGTGAAAGTCCAAATTGGGCCCCTCCTCTGCCTTCTCTTCTCTTTTGTCACAATCATCAAAGGGTAAGATAAGGATTTCTCACTTTAACCGCCCACAATAATCTGAGGATCCAAACACTCTGATTATTATAATTCATAATCTTGACTATTATAATCTTATATAATTTGGCTATGGTCCAAACAGGCCCTAAAAAAGTATAGCAAAAGACTAACTTGTCCCTTATTAATTAGTTAATTTGTTGTTGACTTTGCTTAATTTTTTTAGCAAGACATAGTTTAAATAGACGTGTATGTACGCCACTAATTTTAGCTACCAATTACAATGAGTCATTTCGAACAAAGATTATGTTTAAAAGGCATGCATGGATGGGGTTTAAAAGGCACCCACACACGGATAGGGTTGATCATTTCAAAATACTTTTATAATTGAGAACAAAATTGGAACCTTTGATATTGTATTATTTCATGACGGAGGTTACTGTATGTAATGACCTGTCAGCGCAAGGTTTACTATCAAATTGGAACAAATCACTCTACTTAAGGGCAGCCCCAATGGTGTATTGATGATGGTTTCTATTCTCATTAAATGACTTATCACGTAGGTAAAATGCTGACATGGCAACACAGTTAATGAAGAAAGAGAGCAAAAATCATAGAAATGGTTTCCTCATGAAGAAACCAGGTCTTCTCTGGACCCAATGCACCAAGAACTAGTTTCTAGGGGGCTCATGCCGCACTCTCATTGGAGGAAGAAGATAAAGTTGGGAGAGAGAAAGAGAAAATAATTATTACTCATAGAAACCATGGGTTGAAAAACAGTATTTTTTTGGTGCAGTATCCTATATTATAGAAACTACTAGTTTTTTTTATTGGGACTGCCCTAAGATCATGGAGATGAACTCATCAAATCAATCAAAGACATAAATAAAGTCTTGGAAAACGTTGGAATCCCAATTCTCCGGAACTCCAAAATTCCGAGTTTCCGACATCTCAGGGGCAGGAAAGTAATTCTCCTTGAATTGGAACGGGAGGTTTTGTTGTTTGATTATACGCACGTGCCATGCCAAACCCTGTAAAAAAACCCAAAGAAAAACCGGGAAAGCACGCCTCACTCGCCCCTCCGTCGCCGGCGCCGCCGACGCCGCCTGCCGCTGCGGCGCTGCCGCCGTCCTTCTGGCCGCCACACCTCCTCCGCCTCACGCGCTCCTGCAAAAAACCTCTCCAAGGGCCAAGGCGGCAAGGCCCTTCTTATCCACGCGGCACCAGAGCAGCAGAACCCTAGATAAACCCTCTCGGAGGCTAAGCCCCGGCGGCGGCGATGGCGAGGGTCCCTCCCGTCGAGTGGGTCCCCCACGTCGAGGCCTACGTCGACGTCTCCCGCCCCGCTGCGCAACACGTACCGCTCTCTTTTCTCTCCTCTCCACTTCCCCTCTCTCCAGTTGCAGCTTTGGTTCAGTTAGCTTGTGCTTTCAGTAACTCGGCTTGTAGTATCCGTAATATGAGGTTGATATTTCGGTTGCCGGAAGAAACTTTTGGGTCATGTGCGCGATTTGATAGAACACATTCAGTTTCAGATTCTGTGTAATCCTAGTGCAAAGAACTACTGTTTGGTTAATGTGTGAGGTGAATCCGTTAATGTTGGTGCTTGCTAGCTTAATCCGATGAGAAAAAAATGTTCCTTTCGCTTAGCCTGATACCTGGTTTCATTTGTATCCTAATGCTGTAATGATGTGGGTGTGCAACAGTCTGCTAGTGTGGATGCTCTTGCTGCCCTGGTGAACAAGGACAAGTTGACCCTCTTTGATTTGGTATGCCCCAGCCCCCAAGATATGATATTGTAGTGTGATCCACCATACGCGGACAGCAGGTTGACTTTGTTCTGTTTCTCCTTGGTGATTTTGTTCAGGTATCCAAGATGGATATGTATTTGACAACAACAGACCACATTGTCAGATCAAGAGGTTCGTTTATCTCTTTTCTCGGTTGTGGTTACCTTCCACGCTATGTTTATCATGATTTCTTAAGTGACGATCAAACAGTATAATTCAAAGTTTGAACCTTCTTTCTAAGTTCGTTAGGACGTAGGCCTATGGCTAGTTGCCATGCTTTAAGGTGCTATATGGTTGCTCCTACTGCTAGTTCCCCTTGAAGGTGAATAATTCAAATGCTATCCTTTTTGTGAAGACTGTTGCAGTTCTTTCTATTCAAACAAACGCCAACTTTATACGACAATGCAAGCACACAGGGGTGTGCATGCCCACATGCAGATTGCCAGTACAAACTGAAATGGCAAGGAAGAATGTGCCACTTTATTGGATCAGTGATCGCATTTCCAGAATTTTGAGCTTTGTTCTGAACTTACTGTTTCAATCTAACCTGCTGAACTTATCTCTCCTTGTGTCCGTTCCTGATAGATTTGAACTGAATATCATTAACCTGCTACTGCTATATGCATGTTTTTTGCTTGCTGGTGATTTACTTTTAAGCTTTTATTTTACAGGAATACTGCTTCTGGGGGAAATATTGTCTCGAATTTCATTTAAATGTTTAGATGTCAATACCATTACAACGTTGTCAGACTTCTTTATATCAAGATTGGTAAGTTTGATGCTTTGACTATGTGAATCATGATGGTTTCCTCTCAAATACTTTCCTAGAAGTTTTAAGTATAAAAAGGATGGAAGAGAAAGAAGTCCTCATGGTTCTATTCAAGTATTTTCTGTATGATTGCGTTTTTCTTGAACAATAGGCTGACATGTTTGTATTTACACCTGGTATTAAGTTAGTAGGCTGACATGTTTGTATTTACACCTGGTATTAAGTTAGTAAATGTTACCTTCTGTTCCTGCAATTTTCTTGTTGCAATCATGGAGCAAGATGAAACCTAACAAGGAAACCAACTAGGGAAGGTAATGCGTTTATATTTGTATAAGTTCTTATTAGATCAAGGCCTTGTTTTATAATTTAATAACAGCAGCAGCAAAATCTCTTTGTCCCCACTCATTAAGTTGGGTAGGTTGGAGATGAAACCTAACAAGGGCCACATACAAGGAGAATCTGAAGAGTAATTGGTGTTTGTTGTATAAATAATAGCCAAAAGTCTTGCATTCAACAACATAGCCTTTTTCTCCCTTTCCAAGGAAAGTGTCATCGTAGTTTTAGTGTTATCAACCATTGACTGCAATCATCACATAAAAAAGCTGGCACTTTATTTGGTTTCTAAGTTATAATAGCTTGTTTTCATTTGTATGAGTTCCATTTCTGCACAGCAAAACTGTCAAAATTGTGGTTACGAAAATTTGTGTTTAGAGCATTACATGCCAAAGTGAGCCCCCCCTCCTATTGTGTCCTGTTTAGTGTAGATGGAGAAACCTACATTAAATTAGTTTTCTACATAAGCAGGGGTTTTGCATCTCAGTGAGATGCAACAAACCTAACTACAGCATTATTTACTTAGCTGGCTGTTCAATATATTGATGTGACTTCTTTGATGGTTAGATTGTCTTTTTTTTTTTTTAATGTTAGGTGGCATATAAGCAATTTATCCAAGTCCTTTACCTGATTAAAAAAATTGCATAGATGAGCTTGAGCTCTGTATCAGGTGTGGTATTTTGGTAATTTACCTTTTGGCCCTAGGTTAGACCAATAACAGAAGTTACTTGTGAAGTAGGGTGAGTGATGTGGTTACTGGTCATGTGCAAAAGGGCCTTAATTCTCTTGTCATTCTTGGTGCCTGAACTCTATGGAATCATTGGAATCGTTGCACCTTGCATGGCAGGAGCTTTGCTGCTTGCCGAAGAGGAGGCACAGCTTTAGGGATTGGCTGGGTCTTGAGGGCTTTTCCCTCTTGAATGCCCTAGCTCCTAGTGATTAGTTTTTTTTGTCATTTATATTTCAGTCACGATTGTGTATGTTATCGGAGTGAAGTAAATCGGTGTGCTTAAGATTGATAAACGTGACAAGTGTCTATTCTTTGCCGTTTGGCACCTGTCCTTATCTTAGCAATACTCATGTCTTCTTGTTTTATTTTTTCTATATCAGTCAGATTGGCAAGCAATACGAGGAGCCCTTGTTGGTTGCCTGGCTCTATTGCACAGGAAACAAGGTGTTGGTTGTATCGTGATTGCTGATGTCAAAAGACTAGTTGAGTCTTTCTTACAGAATGTTCCAGTGCAGTCACTTGCAGCTGCTGACCGCAAGGTTGATTTGATTCTTCAGTGCAAAGATGATTAGATAGGTACATCTTAAAATCATTATCTGATGTACTGATACCTTCCATCTCTCTGTTTGAATCCAGCTGTGCTTTGAAATTCTGAGCTGCATATTGGATCGGTACCCGGAAGCTGTAAAACAAATGGTGTGGTGATTACTCTATATCTGAACAACACTGGATCACCAGTATATTGGCAAAACATAATTGCTATCCTTACTGGAAAAAGAATTTATATGAGTTCTGTCTGTTCATAAACTTTCTAGCTGTTAGAGTAGTATATTGCTATCTACAATTTCTGTTAGATGTTTTAGGGGTGTTTTTTATTTAATCTTTTTTTTCGATATGTTATAGAACTTTGTGATCATATCTTTTTGCAACCCCATCTGCACCAGGACCTGAACTTTTTTTTTTAGTTACT